TGGCCAGGGGGGCATAGAGATGGTGCTGGATAGCAATCAACTTAACCTTAGTTGCTGTACATCATGGGGGGGGGGATGTTGGGGGAACTCAGCACCTCTTGGCGCAATTCAGAAAATGAGGTGCCAAAAAAGTTTCTTCTTGCCACTCTCACTTGCTAAAAACCAATAAACAACTAATAATGTATCGTCCCTCTGACCGTAAAGATATCCTTGAAAGTGTAAGCAATGCAATCTGGAATCTCAGAAATCAGGGATGCATTTTAAGTTATACACCAGCTTTTTAACTGTTTCAACCCATAGTGCTAGTATAACCTTATAAGGCCCTCAGCTCATGCTTGCCATGAACCCAGAGCACCATGCTGTTCTTTGGAGGAAGTTAACAAGCCCCACTCTCCTGTTATGGTCCATTTTGGAGCAGGCTCGGAAAAAAAATAAGTAACAGTTGAGGACGGGGGGAGAAAGCAGTAAGAGGAAGGCTACAGATGGCGGACATGGCAACAATAGGAGGGTTGGAGGAAGGAGCAAGATGGCGGTATTAGAGAAGAGAAGGTGGCAGTGGTGACGGAGGCAGTTTAAGGGGAATGAAGGAGAAGATGGCAAAAGACACAGGGAAGGAAAGAGGAGGTGGGGACCGGGGGGGGGGGAAGGATTTTCTCAGCCCTTGTGTTCCTCAGCGGGTTCCCCACTTGTGAGATGCTAAATCAGAAAGTGAAAAGAACAATGCATTCTTTTGCACGAAGACAAGGGTAACAATATATTTTCAAAAAGGACTGGATCTGTAGCATGGATTTTCAAGATTCTCAAAAGTCAATTTCAACATGCACACTGGCTTTCACATACAGACCAACAATATTTTTGGTAACATGCACAGCACTTCTACTGGAACACTTGGTTTAGACCAATGATTAATGGGCACCCATACAGCCCCCAAGGAGACAAAACATGGGAAGTATGTGGGATTTTCAGCAGCCGTTTCCACCCCCACCCCCTGGAAATAGGAATCAAATCCAACATTAAGAAGCTGGCTGGATGGCTCTTAGACATCAAGGCCCCATTAACTGTATGATCTATGTACTATATCTATATCTAGATGCGTAAAGTTGCCTTGTTTTAATCTTTCACTTGTGGCTTGAGGGGGTATTTAATAACAATGAAGAAGTGAGCAGTAACTCATGAAAGCTCATCCCCTGCCACAAATTTTGTTAGTCTTTACGGTGCTACTGGCCTCTTGCTCTTTTCTACTGCTACAAACAGACTAAAACGGCTACCCGTCTTGGTATACTTAATAAGCAGTTGCAGATTAAAGGTTAAGAAGTACTGGTTTACATTAATCTTTTCAGAGGGAACAGAAGCCACTAACATCTGACTGCTGTTTCTAGTTGTAACCGGAGTAAGCAGTAGTGCTGTTCCATGGAGCAGGGAGGAGAGACCACAGAATGAGATAACCTGCCTTACTGACCAGCATGACTCAGTCATGAGGCAAACAACTTAAGCTTCCTATCATCTGTTCTAATAATTAAAAAATAGAGGCGGGAACCTCAGAAATCAGGCTATAATTTAATCACATGTCCTAAAAATGTTAATGAGTCCAGGATTCTGACCTTTTAAAGATGCATCTCTTTTTAAAATGAACTCAATGAGGAAGCACTCTAATTCTGTACAGGTTAACATAAATCAGTTCTTTCAACAACAGATCTTGGACCAATTGTTTGATGTTTTCTAGATAAGGAAGTCGCCCTCTTATCAGCTGCATCAAGTATCTATACACAACATATTGTTTTGTCTGAACAATCAAGATGAAATTCCAACAAGATAGCTTAATCTAACCTAACTTTCCCACACAGTAAAAATGTGACCACAAACTCAAATATTCCCCTTAAAAACAAAAAAATTCCTACCACTACAGTGGAGTTTTGTCGTACTAGTTTGGTTGGGGAGGGGCCAAGGCTCAGTTGTAGAGCATCTGGTTGGCATGCAGAAGGTCCTGGGTTCAATCCTCAGCATCTCCTGCATATAAAAAGTCCTTCCTAGAAATTGCATACTTACTAACCAAGTGGGATAACACATGACAGTGGCCGAGCCTATGAAATCCTACCTCCTCTGGGCCAATGATCCTAGAACTGGCCATCCAAACTGAAGTCTGCTCAACAGAAATGCTATGTAGATCTTACCTACAAAGTGATAACAAACTGATGGGTCAAAAGTTCTTAGGACTGTTCTGATCTCCAGCTTCATGGATTGGGACAATTATACTATTTAAATTATGTACTGGTCAAAGACTGTAATAATAAACTAACTGATTGACAATTATACTAGATCACTATTCAGGAGGATTCACTCCAGTAGAATTCACCCTAGTAAAAAGATTTGCCAAAAAAAGCACCCACCACTCCATGTTATGAATAATAAATTCAGAGACCATGGAGAGCCAATGACAATCTGAGTAAACAGCACTTACTCTGATGGACCAATGTTCTGATTCAGTATAAGACACCATCAACATGCTCTGTGCCCATACAGCCAGCCTGGGGAAAGTCATCCCCGATTTGAGGGCTGGACCGGGTGCTGGCATCCACCCTGGAGCCAGGCCCCGAGGAGATGGCTGTTCTCCATGGGTCAGGGCCTTGGCAGACAGGTTGCTGGTGGGCAACACCACCAGGTTGCAGGCTCTCTGGAGGTGTGAGCACTGCAAAGAAGTGCAGAGGCTATAGGCCAACAGACATGGCCAGAGGGAACAGTGGGTGGAAGAGGCTGGGGAGAAGAACGTGCAGCCCAGCACCTATGCCTCAAAGAACCCAACCAGGGAGAAGCCCCACTACATGTGGCCAGGCCTTTTAACTCTTCAAGTCACAGATGGGAGCATTTAACTTTGCCTATCATGAAGTCAGGTTTGAATCCCCATTAGTATTATTTTGCACCTGTTCTCTGATCAAATCAAGACACAAGTCCCAAAACTTTTTTGTTTATAGAATTTTATTTAAAAGTCCCAAAACTTTTATCGGCCAACTCAGAATATCCAAGTAGCCATTTATCCTGCTCCTTGCTGGCAGGTAGATAAATTGTTGTCTCTGTCGTGCTTATTTGTCTCCATAAAAAGGAAATCACCTCCTCTCAGTCTGAAATCCAGAGCGTTTATTGGTTTATTTATTTATTTATAATTTTGGAATTATGAACCTCCCTATTCTGGAGTACATAGCGCTCTGGGTGATGAACACTATTAAAATAAAATACACCATAAACACTATTAAAAATATAATAAATACATCATTACATCCTTAAAAACAACCCCCAGATGGCGTTAATGAATCCATCTTTAACCAGTTTCAGACTGTGTTGCCACCTCTTGAGCAGGATAAGGAGGCAGAGAGAAAAAAGAGAGGAGAGAGGAGGGTGCCAGACACAATATTACCTGTCGCTGTCCTCAGCCAAAAACCTGGCAGAAAATAATGTTTTCTGAGATCAGGGCCTCCATAAGTATTAAGGCACTGTGCATTCCTCTATCATAAGGAACATTTCTGCTCAATCACTGCTCAGAAACAGGAAAATCATGGTGAGGGAAGAAGAAATGCTGCGACATAGCTCGCTAACAAATTTCAATTACTCTTTCCTATGACAGTAATGTTTTTCTTGGGTGGGAAGAAGAACACAGTAGACAACAAATGGCAGCCAGACACTCTAGCATGTCTTTATGTGCTCCTCTTAAAATGGGCACAGTTTAAGATAATAGTTTTATCCACACAACTTCCTAAACAATAGGGGGGAAATCTCCTCTTCAAATGCAACTGGGTGGAACTAAGAGACCTTGGTAACCTGACTTGATGTTTACAAGGGCCAGAAAGCAGTATCACAATACAAGGAAGTTGCCCTGACCTGGATAGCCCAGGCAAGCCTGATCTTGTCAGATCTCAGAAGCTAAGCAGGGTCGACTCTGGCAAGTACTTGGAAGAGAGACCTCCTTGGAATACCAGCAGTCGGGAGGCAGGCTCGATTCAGCCACCTCTCTGACTATCCTTCAGGCCCCCAGTAGGGGTCAGTCACCAGAGGTCGCCATGACTTCCAGGTGCACACACACTCACATGCACATATGAAAAATACAAAAAAAAGCCAAAAAAAAAAGACAATACAAGGAATTTCTGTGCTTCTGAGGGATACAAATAAGGATGGTTAAAAATCCCACTGATGTTACTTATCATACAGCCCTTATTTGTTGTTGGGCATCAGCTGCGTTTCTGGCAAAAACATTTCACCATTTTTGGCTTTCTAGTTCACCCAGCTGCAGAGTTTGGCTTCAGTTTTGCTCTCTGGCAGGTATAATTTAGTATTCTCCTTTTTTTTTTTTTTTAATGGCCTTAGCCGAGCACATATATTCTGATGTATATTTTATGAATGTACTGGGGAACAGATTAAATGAATGTCTTTAAAAGCACAATAATTTTGCTTTTTTGGAAAGGTGCATGGAGGGGGATTAAGAATCCTTTCGGCAAGGAGAGGGGAAGGGGTAACACACTAGCGAACTACAATAGAAGAATTCATACCATAACAAAAACCGTAGCTTCCATGATAAATACTGCTCCCATTCCTAAAATCCACAACACATCATATTAGGCCTAGCCTCAAGACATGTCAGCAATACCACTCTGAGTCCCAGGAGAAAAGACAAGATAGAAAGATATAATTAAACACAAAAATATATATAATTAAATAAACACAAGGAACCACACAACAATAGTGAATGCTCAATTTGACATATCAGGCTACATACATAACTTACATTCACTTTAGGAGAGTTAATTCCAATAGATTTCAAGGAAGAGGCCGGGGAGCTGTAAGTGCTTTTGTAGAGTTCTCAAATAAATAACGAGAAATTGTGTACAGGATAATAATTAATCCAAAACCAAGAACATATTGATGCAAGAGATCAGCTGAACAACTATGCTGAAGTTTTTACAAGAACACCAAGTGATTTTTGGCAAATTTTGCAGCCAGCAATACACACTTACCTTTTCCATTTATTGTTAATGCAGATGCAATGGTAGTGGTTACTGGTACAGGTAACTGTGGCACTAACGGATGTATTCTTGGCCTACTCCCCATTCTGGCACGCTCTTCTCCAGGTCCTAATAAGGCTCCAACTGGTTTTTCTGCTGCCACTTCAGGTGCTACAGAATCTTCCTGATCCTGTTCTATGCGGTCCAGCTTACCAGGGCTTTCATTCTGAAATCCATCCACTGCTGTCCGACTTTTAATAGGACTTTTGGGCACAAGGATTTTGATACCTGATTTTGAAAGATCCATATTTTTTCTACCAGAGAGGGGATTGGTATTTTTCCGAAACTTCTGGGCAGAAGCAAACAACTGGTTAGTTTTTGATTCATGGTCTTTCCCAATAACTAAAGACTTGGGAGAAGTCTTTGAAAACGAACTATTGGTAGATCTAGAAATTTGTTTTCTTGCATTATTTGGAGAAGTCCTGTTTGTCCTTGTTAATGTGCTTTCTTTTTGTTTTTCACTGTGATGTCTATTGAATTCATGTATATATTCCTCACAATTCACAAGGTGCTGTTCAGGTTCCCACGTGTCATCTTCACTCTCATAGCCTTTCCATCGCACTAAATATTCTGTTTTTCCTTTCTTGTTTTTCCTCTTATCAACAATTTTCTCTACCTGTTGAAAGAAAAGTTAGAGGATGATGAAGATGCATTTATGAAAGTTTTAAAGTGACAAGTCAGATGTGCAATGAAACACTTGTCAAGAAAATCTTTCTGTAATAAACTATTATTTGTCTGCTCAGCAGTAGTAGTGCTCTTTCAGTCATGCAAAATGCATTACATTTGCTAAGGAAGCCCTGGTGTTTTTGGTGAAACACAAGAATGGTACAGTCTTTTACCTTTAGCTGTACCTCATTTTTGGAATATTCTTGGACTAGTCACATCTCCATTACCTAAGATGGAAAGTGTCTCCAGTGGGAAGTTCAAAGCTGGATAAGGCTTACTCATTCGACACAATAGAAAAGAGCAAGAATCCAGTAGCACCTTAGACTAACAAAATATGTGGCAGGGTATGAGCTTTCGTGAGTCACTGCTCACTTCTTCAGAACTCTCCACATATTCATTCCTTCCCTACTCCTATAGCTAAAAAGTGCATGTTTCTTGAAATTATAATATTCAACCATTCATACTACTTAACGGTCACCATACTACAAGATAACATCCCAATTTTATGTGTAAAAATCTACAGATAAATCATCAAGATAGATATAAAGTAGCACACTCTTATGTAACTTCCCAGAAGTAAGATCTGATGCTAGATCTTAATTTCTCATTTAAATTTCTAGAATATTACGCCCTTTTCAAGATGCACTACATTCAATAAAACCTTGGCATGAATACAGAAACTGAGCATCTCTGGAACTGTACTAATGCTCACTTCCTAAGAGCTCTATGAAATTTAAGTAATATCTATACATCAGACAGAAAGGCAATATGAAATTGTTAGTAGAACCTGAGGTAGCTTGAAGGTAACCGAGTTTGGTTTCCAGTTTCAAAGACAAAGTCAATTGTATCCATTTCATTTTGAACATCTACATCAAAAGTAATGTTTACATGGCTGAAATTTATACATTCAGAATGTTAGTTTTTGGAATGCTGAGATATTTATTCTGACATTTGCAATGTCTCTGCTCTATCCTTCGTATACATTAATCAGGAATACTTCCTGAACAAGCCCCACCGAAATGGCGCTCACAGAAGTTCACAATAGATTGTGCCTAATTCTTTGATGAGTCACCAGCACATTTAAGTACGCTGAGAGGAGGAGCAGAATGGAGAGGCAAGGTCACTCAGTGATGGAGAGAATTCATTTTTAGCACAGGCAAGACCAGAAACTGTTGTCTCCTCCTTTGCCATCTATTTATTTATTAGATTTTTTAGTTGCCACTCATCCAAAGGGTCTCATGGCGACTTACAACATTAAAAGCAATAAGGTAAAAACAACATAAAAACATATAACACAAAATATTAACATTAAAAGATTAAAAGACGTGTCTGTCACCAAACCACTATTAAGACAGCTCAAATACATGGTTACTCTCCAAAAGCCAACCTAAATAATTCAGCTTTGCATGCTCTGCAAAACAGGGCATGGGTATCATCTGAGAATGCATTCCACAAGATAGAGGCCACAATTTAGAAGGCCCTTACTCTGGTGACCACTAACCAAGCCATCCTGGGGTCAAGCAGCTGCAAGAGGCCCCTTGAGGATGACTGAGAGGCGGTCCCATAGGCAGGAGGGTCCCAGACCATTAAGGGATTTGAGAGTTAACATCAACACCTTGAATTGGATTCGGAGACTAATTGGTAGCCAGTGCACCTGTCGCAGAATTGGAGTAATATGAGCTGACCATGATGCTCCAGTCGGCAACCTGGCAGCTGCATTCTGAACCACTTGCAGTTTCCAAAGCGTTTTCAAGGGTAGCTCTACATAGAGCAAATTGCAGTAGGCCAACCTGGACATGAACGTTGCATGGATCAATATGGCATGGACTGACCCAGACAAATAAGGAGCCAGCAGGCAGGCCTGGCACAGGTGAAAAAATGCTGACTGCACTACTATGGACACTTGTTTATCCAGTGACAGAACAGAATCCAACCACACCCCAAGACTCTTTACAAAGTCTACAGCTGTCACTATTGAGTCACAGGAGTTGACCCTCCAGCTAGCATTTCAGTCTTTCCCAGACACATGACCTCTGTCTTGGATGGATTCAGCTTCAGCCAGCTCCCCCTTAACCACTGCCACTGGCTGCTTATCCAGCAGGAGGAAGAGCCAAGTCTCATCAACATATTGATGGCACCCAACTCCAAACAGTGTCAGACAATGGCTTCTGACAGTCCTTTTTCTTCAAATTACCCAAAGCTAATATTTTCACCATTAGGTAGAAACAAGGGGCGGACCCGCGATACTCGCAGGGGGGGAGGCAGAGGAGAAAGCAGGAGGAGGAGGTAAATACCCCCCCATCCTGCCGGTTCCCCCGTCTCCTCCACCCCCTTGATCTCCCCCCCATTGCCTTCCCCCCCGGCTCCTCGCTGCTCTCTCCCCCCCATCCCGGCAACAAAGCGAGGGCCGAGCAGCTTTCCTCTCGGCCCTCTCTACTCTTCCCCCCCATTCCATCACCTAAGTGAGGGCCGCTTGGCCCTCACTGCTCTCTCCTCCACCCCCACCCCGGCACCAAAGCTGCTGCTCCTCGCTGCTCTCTCTCTCCGCCCCCGCGGCAGCGGCGGGAGGCCGGCTGCAGAGCGTTCCCTGCGCATGCGCAGGGGACACTCTGTCATTTTTGGGGGGATTTAAACATCCCCCTGATATTTTTACAGGGTTTCTGATTTTTGTGCACACCTGGGGACCGCCCTACGTGTGCACAAAACTCTCCCTCCCCTCCAGGTCCCCCCGATGTGCGGGGATTAGATATATAGATGACTCTGATCTATAACTACCTTAAAAGAACCATATTTATTAAATTAGGATGACATTGACTCTCATACATTAACAGAATAAGGAGGATCTATAAGAACAAGCACATCAATTCAAAATACAAACTATATGGCAAGGAAAAATGTGGTTGTCAACTTAGCATCAAAGAGAGTGGACACCCAAGTACACTAAAAACTGGCCATAATAAATTTGGTCATCAAGGACATGAGGAGGAAGGAGTGAAGCTGTATATAGAGCACGTTTTATAGACCTGTGGAATCATTTAAGCTTCTAAAGACAGTAGACTAAATCCTGTGATCAGTCAAAAGAAAGTGCAGCATTCCATGTACACAATTGTACCTGTAGTATTTCTTTGAAAAAATTAATTTTTTGATAAAACAAATGCAGAAGACATAGTATGGGCAAAATTCAAGTAACAACAACCACAGCTAGATGCTCAGTTTATGTCTGGTTGAACAAGAAGAATATCTGCCAGTCATTAGGCAATGAGGACCCAGCCACATCCATCTGATGAAGTAGGCTATACTCCATGAAAGCTAAAGCTAGAATAAAAATCTGTTAGTCTCTATGATGCCACAAGACTACAGAATAGTGTATGCTCAAAATTGGAAACTGGACAGAATACCAGGGGTAGAAGAATGGATTAAAAAACTGCTTTTGATGGTAGAAATGGACAAAATGACAAGAAAACTGAAAGATTTGGAGGCGGAAGAATTTTTTGTGGACTGGAAAGATTTTAAGGACTATTTAGAGAAATATTGGGATGTGAAGGACAATCTGATTTGCTTTGAAAATTATTAAGTGGATGTAAAAGAGAAAAGAAATGGACTTATAATGATATATATGTGATCATTTGTTACCTATAGCTATATGATAAAAGATTAGAGACATGTTCGAATTTAAGGTTTGAGCTGGTGGTGGGTACGCTGTTGGAAGCCTACGAAAAGGGGGGGGAGAAAGAAGAAAAGGATATATATTAAAGTTGATATAATGTGAACGTGTATTATCCTAATAAAAGTTGTTTTTTAAAAAAAGACTACAGTTTAATTTTTGCTGTTGCAGACTTGCACAGCTATTCTTCTGAAGTAAATCTGAATTATTTCAATTCTAGTGTTTTTCAGCTACACATATAGCTTTTCCTCATTTTGCTGAAAAACAATCTGAGCATTTGATTTCTTCCATTATTTAAGAAAACTTCTGTGAAGTTAGTGAAAAAACAAATATTACACAGCATACGATTTTGAAAAGTTCTTAAGAATATCAAGAACCAGTTTAAAAAATGATCATCCTACACAAGAAGGATGTATATAACATGTCTTAAACTAAACTGGTACAATTTAATTCTCATGAGTACACACCCAGGGAAACAGAAGTCATTCCTGAAAGCGATTCTACATGACATTTGCCCCCTCTAGTTTTACAAGGTGCACACATAGAGAACTTCACAAAGGCAGGCAACTTAAAAACCTGTTACAAAATGAGAATTTGCAATTACAGGCCAAAATTATCTTTTTATTAGTGTGATGACAGTAATGCTACACAATTTGAGGGCACAGATGTGGCTCCTGCAAAATGCAACCAGAAGGCATTTGTACAGGCTAATCTTTTCCACATTACCCCCCAGCTTCTTGCAAATCAAAAAGGTTATGAGAGACCTGCATGAACTAAAATACATGCAATAATATAGACTGTTGTAATGAGGAAGGCGAATTCTTCACCAGGAATTTGTGTTTTCAACTTTCCTAGCTCTTGTAAAGTATTTTCTGGTTTGGAACAAATGAACTACTTTTTTGACAAGCCATTACTCATTCAAAATGTGTACTATGAAGATTTTAATGTGTACGATGTGTACTATGTGTGTACTATGTGTACTACGAAGAATTTACATAATTCCTGTGTTTACTGTTGACATATCCAGCGTGTTTTCAAATATATGTTCATTGTTTAAATGTGATTAATATTAACCACAGTATCATATAAGTCTATGATAATGCACTACTGAAGACTTCAGTGTTGTCAGTGTTATACAGTTAGGCTCAGAATGTATGATTGGCCTATGGTAAGTCTCCACAGCAGAGTAGGGATTCACACCTGGGTCTCCCAGACCCTAGTCTGAAATGTAACCACCACACTGACTTTTGTGTAGAGCTTGCTGTTGAACAGCAGTGAGCAGCTGA